ATGGTGATGATGATGATGACGATGATGACGATGGTAACGACGATGCTGATGGTACTGATGCTGCTGATGATGACGATGCTGACCACGACGCTGGTGATGATGATGATGTTGATGATGACGATGATGATGATGATGATGATGATGATGATGATTAGACTGCTGCTATTGATGGTGATGAATGTGATGAAGATGCTGATTATGATGATGACGATGATGATGTCGATGATGATGGTGATGGTGGTGGTTGTGGTGGTGAGGATAATGATGATGATGATGATGATGATGATGATGATGATGATGATGATGATGATGATGATGATGATGATGATTTCGGTAGGTGTATGCGGCGATGGCGCGCCGTCGTCGCCGGCGAAAGCTTTCAAGTATGAATTCCGCAACATTGAACGGCGCGGAAGCACTGAGGGGCACGGTAACGCCATAGGACCTGATGTTTTTGTATGTTGGAAGGTCAGGGTCGCGGTCGTTTCAAGGTTGAACGATCGACGCGGTATCACAAATGTTCGCGCGCGCCGACGCTGCAAGGACCGTCCGAATAATGGTGATGGTGATGGTGATGATGATGATGATGATGGTGATGATGATGGTGATGATGATGATGATGATGATGATGGTGGTGATGTTGATGTTGATGCTGGTGTTGATAATGATGCTGATGATGATGACGACGATGGTGATGATATGAATGATGATGACGATAATGGTGATGATGATGATGATGATGATGAATATGATGATGCTGATGATGATGATGATGAAAATGATGATGATGATGATGATGATGATGATGCTGATGATGCTGATGATGCTGATGATGATGGTGATGATGATGGTGGTGATGCTGATGATGCTGATGCTGATGGGGTTGTTGCCGTGGTTGTGGTCGTGGTGGCGATGAGGTGGAAGCGAGGAGGAGGAAGAGGAGGAGGAGGAGGAGGTGAAGTAGGAGGCGGAGGTGGAGGAGAATGAGGAGGAGCACGAGAACCAGGAAAATCAATACTTTGGAGGCAGATGGGACCGTCGAGGGTTCTCCGAAGCCCCCTCCCTCCCAGTCAAGCTCAGCGCATCGCCCTTCCTCGGGCTAGGCCGCCCCGCGACCTCAGAATGAAGGGCCGTTGCCATAAGTTCGCGGCTGGCACGAGCAAGTACAGCAATCTTGACGAACAGCGTGCTCGCTCGCCGTTTCTAGCCGCTCCCCCTCCTCAAGTCTCTCGTCATCCTCCTCCTCCTCTACCTCTTATTCCTCCTCCTCTTCCTCCTCCTCCTCCTCATCCTCCTCCATCCGTCCTCCTCCTCCTTCTCGTCACTCCCCCTGCCCAATTCATCTTCCTACTCATTCCTCTTCCTCCGCCTCATCCTCCTTCTCTCCTCTTTCATATCCGCTCGGACCGTCCACGTTCGGTCAGAGTCAACTCTTGTGCCCCTCGTAAACTCCACATGGGGCAGTTTTACTCGAGCTGCGTCGGGCCAACGCCACGGAGAGCCACAAGGAAGGCCGCGAAGCAAGTCGAAATCCTCCCTCGAAGTCCTCATCCCGCCACTTCCTCTCGAAGTCCTCCCTCGAAGTCTTCCCTCGAAATCCTCCCTCGAAGTCCTGTGCTCCCTACCACCCCCTCTCCCCTGCTAGGGAACAGGGGACAGTCCAGCCATTCCTGGGCAAGCCCAGCACACCCGTGCATGTGCGGTGAGGCCACCCGTCTCTTCCAACTCCGCATCCTCCCCTCCACCAACCTGTGCTGCTGAGTCCTCTCCTTGTCCTCGTCCTCCTCTTTTTTCCTGCATCACACTTCATCGTTAAGTATCCTCATGTTGCGTCTCCTCCCTCCTCCTCATCCTCCTCCTCCACATCCATCCGTCCTCCCGCTCCTCCTAATCCTCATCATCATGATCATCATCATCAGCAGCAGCATCATCATCATTATTTGTCAACAGCAACAGCATCATCGTCATATCCTCATCCTCATCCTCATCCTCATCTTCATCCTCCCCCATTTGTTTCTTCGTTTCTCTTCCTCCTCCTCCTTTCTCCTTCCCCCCTCCTCCATCCCTTCCTGGCTCGGACTCAACATGCGTGTTAGGTCCTTTCTGGATAAGGCGTTGCCTGTGGAGCGGCTTGACGTGGAATTGGGTTCAGCGAAGCCCCCGAAGTTACCGTCACCTCGGTTCCGCGGGTTCTTCCGGATGCTCCCGCAGCCCCTGCCTGCCAGAAGCGCATGGCGCATGGCGGCCTTGGTCGCCAGAATTGACGCCCAAGAAGAAGCCCGTTCTTCAGGGGCGCGGTTACCTCGGGTCGCTCCCCCCTCGTCTTGGCGCTGTCGCCTCCCGACCTTGCTGAGGCGCCGTCCATCCACCCCTTCCCGCATGCCTCTCCCCCTCTCGCCTGCGCCTTTTTGTTCCCGCCCCTCCCCCCTCCCGCGCACCCTCTCCTGTCGGGGGTGGATAGACCTCATACCCTGACACGTCGATTAAGGAATTGGCCGTTTTCGGTTCGCCGGAGGGCGTCGCGGCCGTCATTGTTGCGGGACCAGTTCCGGCGGCTTCGGTCCAAGACCGCTTTCACTAAGGGGATGTTTACCGAAGGGAGGATGGTCCACCGCCGAAGCGGACGGGCTTCGGCCCGCTGGGCGAGCGGGCTCTTCCTCCTCCTCCTCCTCCTCCTCCTCCTCTTTCCTCCTTTCCCTCCTCCCCCTACCCCTCCATCCTCCTCCTCCTCCTCCCCCTCCTCCTCCTTCCTCCTCCTCCCTCCTCCTCCTTCCTCCTTTCCCTCCTCCCCCTCCCCCCCCCCCTCCTCCTGCCCCTCCGCCGCCGCCGATCCTGCCCCCTCAGCGCGCGCCACTCTCGGGCGAGGCACTTGGGCGCGCGCGCGGTCGCGCTGCCCCCTCCCCCCGCCAGGCCAGGCCCCAGCGCCGCCTGCTCGCCGGCCCCTCTCCCCGAGGGCAGGAGGGGAGAGAGAAGGGGAGGAGGGGAGGAGGAACGGGGAGGAGGGGAGGAGAGGAGGGCAGGAGGGCAGAGGGGGAGGAGGGGAGGAGGAACGACGACGAGAAGAACGCGGGTCGAGGGGGGAGGGAGGAGGAGGAGGGAGGAAAGAAGGAAGGCGAGGAAGAGACCATCCAGGCCTGCCCAGATGGGGCCCGAGGGGACGGGGTCGGAGGATCGCAACGCATCGTCGTTTCATCGTGACGCGGCTCGACTCGGATTCGAGGGGAGAGGAGGGTGGCCCCCTGCAGGAGGGGAGACAAGAAAGAGCGAGGACGCAGGCGTTCGCTTCGGTTTGCGCTGTCGCTGAACGGCGGCCTCGTTTTGTTGTTCGTGTTCGCTCGGCACCGGTTTCGGTTCAGTCGATATTCCGTTTTTATTGGAGGCGACCGTTGTTCCGTCTTGGCCGAAGTTTGATCCAAAAGGACGGCTTGGTGGATCCGTGGAAAGACGGGTGGGAGTATGGAGGGGGGAACGAAGGAAGAGGAGGAGAAACAGGAGGATGAGGTCCGTAGCCATTTTGGCTCAAGTCGTCGGCGTTTGGGGAGTTGACCCCCCGCCCGCCTCAAGCCGCCCGCAGGAGGGCCCGAAGTGCCTCCTCAGGTGCCGCCCAGGCTGGAGGCACGTCCGTTTCTGGCATCCGCTCCTTCAGTCTTTCCCACTGGCTCAAGCCAGTCTCGCGATGCCAACTACCCAGGATGAGATCGATGCATTCGCCACCTCCCCGTCTCAGGAGCAGAATCGGCAGGTCCGTCCTCGCAGTGGCGATGACATTGGGGAGCCACAACAACATCAACAACAACATCATCATCATCAACAACACCACCACCACCAACAACAACAAACACACCAACAACAACCACACCAACACCAACACCAACAACATCAACACCACCAACAACAACAGCAGCAACAACAACCGCAACAGCAACACCAACAGCAGCAGCAACAACAACATCAACAACAATTATCCGTACCACAGAACCTCACTTCAGCCACGCGACCAGGGACAGTGAATGACCGTTCGGCCCCTTCATTGACATTAATGTATGAATGTACATATACATATATATACACTCATTTTTATACGTCCAGATACTGATTACCAGCTTGGCCGCCGGGAATCGTTGAGCCGTTGGCAGAGCGTCCCCCACTGGATCAGGAGCAGATCTGTTCATTAGCTGCCTCCAGTCTGCCGGAGGGGGCCCGTGAAGCATGACGGCCACGGCGGTCCAACATACGAGACAAGGATCCCCAAGGGCTTGACGGCTTTTCGCCAAGCGATTTGTGGGGATAAAGCTGGATATATCAAGACAGATGCAGATACCTCGCGGCATCTCCATGCAAGCCCAGAATTATCCAGGGAAGTTTGGAGCAAATCGTGGCCGCTCCAACGTGATTCGAGGGACGGCAGGAGTCGAGAACAGTCCTTTGTTCGAAGAACGTTTCGTGGTAGGCCTATCGGAATGTCCGGGAATGTCGGGACGGTCCGCCCCTACGTACACGAGAGCGAAGTGATGGGCAGATGTTCCGCCACCGCTACCATATGTAGGACGGGGGTGAAGGGAGGAAGAGGACGTCCTCCTCCTCTTCCTTCTCCTCCTCCTTCTCCTCCTCCTCCTCCTCCTCCTCCTCCTCCTCCTCCTCCTCCTCCTTCTCCTCCTCCTCCTCCTCCTCCTCCTCCTCCTCCTCCTCCCCCCCCTCCTCCCTCCTCCCTCCTCCCTCCTCCCTCCTCCCTCCTCCCTCCTCCCTCCTCCCTCCTCCTCTTCCTCCTCCTCCTCCTCCTCCTCCTCTTCCTCCTACTCCTCCTCCCCCTTCCCTCCTCCTCGTCCTCCTTCTCCTCCTTTTTCCCTCCTCCCCCTCCTCCCTCCTTCCCCTCCTTCCCTCTTCCTCCTCCTCCTCCTCCTCCTCCTCCTCCTCCTCCTCCTCCTCCTCCTCCTCCTCCCCGTCCTGGTAGCGGTGGTGGACGACGGGCCCCTCGAGAAGCACGGGCGGCCGCCAGGGCGATGCCGGCACGCCGCCCTTGGGCCTCTCGGCCGGCTGCCGCGGCCGCGGCCTTGCTGGTCCTCGGCGGCGCTGGCCCGGGAGGCGCGCGGGGGGCGGCGCGCGCCTGCTTCGGGGGCGTCTAGGAGGGTGCACATGTTTCCTCTCT